GGAGCAGGGACAAGCTTTAATATGGACTTGATTGGACAAATCATTGATCCCATTGGTCACCATTATCAGCATAATCAATTTGTTTTTATTCATCATTATTAGTATCATCATCCTACTCTTGATAACAAGAAAAAGCCTACATAAACCTCTTAAGCTACTCATTCCAACATTCATTAACGATCAGCTGCTAATTCTTTAAGATATTTTATTAACTTGTTCAGTATTAACAAATCATAATTTTACTTTGTAATACCTTTAGCACGTAAAGCAAATAATAGACATTAATTAGCAAAAATAAATACACCAAACAGAGTCAAAGTTGATGGCTAAATTTCATTCATTTTATAAGCAACCCTGCATCTGCCAAGAAAGTGACTAAAGAAAGATGAAATCAGAAAAAGGCTTCATTATTTCTCTGCTATTTCCTGAACACTTTCATTGCCTCCCCCTCCTACCTTTTAATTTCTTCGTTTTTCCATAACTTTTGCCAAAAAAACATTGATTTCTGGTTCTGATCTCAGCCTTTCTTCAATTCACTACCTTTTTTTATCTCTGGTCTGGCCAACATTATTCAGGAAGTATCAGCCTGCTGTAACAAGCTCTTTTCTTCTTCTTTTGATTCTCATAAACTGTGAGTACCCTACTTAGTTGATTCCTTGTCAGGAAATTTCTTTATATATAACAAGAATGTAGTGAAGTAATGAGCAATTGTCATTGAATATGAACTCTAACGTTAAAAATATTGCTTTCTTTCTTCATATGAATCTCTTTTGGCAGAATGATAGTGCGTTGATGATAGCAAGGAAGTTTGCTGGTTATATCACATTCTGGGCATTTGTTCTCTGGATCTTCTAGTATTCTAGTCTTCATCTTTCAATAACTACAGGTACTTTTTAAACCTCCTATTGGTTTTGATTCCCATAAATTGCAAGAATGGTTGCTTACCTTCTTTGTGGAGTTTTGTTTCAACTCCTTTGCTTTGCATTCTGGTGTAGATTGTAGAATCATACTCTCTTTCCTTATGTTATTGCACTTTTCACACATAGTACATGATTGTCAATGTCTTTTCAGGGTTGAGGATTTCATATCAAATGGGTTACTAAGCTCAAATATTTATATTTTGATTTTCCTCACTAAAATTATTAAATTCAATTTCTGTCTACTACTTTATAATATCTTCAATCAATTTCCTTTTTTAATTCCTCTACTTCATAAACTTGATATGCTTCTGCATCCAATGTTCAACGAATCGATACCACAATTTGGTGCAGGGACAAGCTAATATGGACTTGATTGGACCAATCATTGAGGTTATTAAGTTCATTGGTCAACCAGCTAGAAACTATCTAAAATACCACAGAAAATTCAGTGAATACGTGGATAGTTTCAAACAAGCTCAAGCAGATTTGCATGACCGCAAGGCAGATATTCATCAACATTTGCAAGACAAGCATCGTTTTGGGAAAAAGCCAAAGCAGGAAGTTGAAAGTTGGTTCAAGAAAGTAGAGGAGAAGCTTGGTCATGCTCAACGTGTTGAAGATAAAGTCAGTAAAGGGAAATATCTCTTTCGATCTTGCTTGGGGAAGCTTGTTGATGAAACGACTCAAGCATTGAAGGAAGTATCTGCTGAAGGTCGTTTCTCCGGGAGCCTTTTGGTTAATGACCCCTCTACCATAGCCGTTAAACTACCAACACCAGAATTAGCAGGTGAAGCTAATGCAACAGAGGAAATTTATAAGTATTTGATGGGAGATGAAGTTAGAATGATTGGAGTGTGTGGGATGGGAGGAATCGGGAAAACAACCATAATGAAGCATGTTCATAATAGGTTGTTGAAAGAAACAATGTTTGGCAAATTGATTTGGGTAACTGTATCCCAAGACTTTGATGTTCGAAGGCTACAAAACAAAATTGCAAGTCAATTGAAGAAAAACTTGTCAGATGATGAGGATACTACTATACGTGCAGCATTGTTATCTGAAATGTTGGAGAAACAAGGGAGCTATGTGCTAATATTGGATGATGTATGGAGCAGCTTCTCTCTCGAGGATGTTGGAATCCTTGAGCCAACTACAGATAATGGATGCAAGTTAGTATTGACAACACGCTCAGAAGAGGTTGTTCGATCGATGGCTTGTAAGAAAGTCCAAGTGTCCTGTCTTTCTATGGATGAGTCCATGAAATTATTCTTGAATAAATTAGTCGGACAAGACATGTTGCCTAATCAAACTATAGAATCGATTATGAAACTTGTTGTCCGCGAATGTGATGGTCTTCCTCTTGCAATTGTCACGGTAGCTGGTTGTATGAGGGGAATATCTGATCCTCTTGTGTGGCAAAATACTTTGAATGAACTGAGAGGTTATATAAGAAACATCAAGGATATGGAAGATAAGGTGTTTGCGTGTTTAAAATTCAGCTATGATCGTTTGGAACAAAGAGACCAGGATTGTTTTCTATCTTGTGCATTATATCCTGAAGATTACGAAATTGAAAAAGAACAGATAGTTGAATATTGGATGGAACAAGGACTTGTAGATGAAATGGAGACTAGACAAGCAATGCAGGGTAGCGGCCATTCTATTTTACGGAAGCTTGAAGAAAACTGTTTGCTAGAAAGGGTTACAAAGGGTACACACATAAAGATGCATGATGTTGTGAGAGATATGGCTTTACATATCACAAGAAAAAGATTTTATGTAAAAGCCGGTAAACAATTGGAAGAGCTACCTGATACGAAAGAATGGGGTGAAGATATCGAGAAGGTTTCCTTGATGGTTAATACCATATCAAAAATTCCTCAAAATATACGATCTCTGAGATGTTGGAAGCTCACGACTTTGTTGCTCTCAAACAATTCCTTGATAGAAATTTCAGAATCTTTCTTTGAACATATGCCTAATCTTAAGATTCTTGATCTTTCTTCGAATTCTATTCAAAATTTGCCCAGTTCTATCTCCAAATTAGAGAATCTCACAGCATTGTTGCTTTGTCAATGCTATGAATTAAAGAATGTGCCATCTCTATCAAAGCTTCAAGCTCTGAAGAAATTGGATCTTAGAGAAACAAAGATCAAGAAAATCCCTCAAGGTTTGGAAATGTTAGCGAATCTTTGATATCTCAATCTCGAATTTAACATGGGGTTCATACAGATGCCCGATGGAGTATTGTTAAAACTGCATCGTCTTCAACACTTGACGATGCGTCCAACATTATTGAGAGTGGAAGAGGTGAAGACATTGGACAAGCTGGAAGTTTTCGAAGGTTGCTTCCCTGACGTGCATGACTTGAGCCTGTTTGCTGCTCAAAGAAAAAGGCCTAATAAGTATCGCATTTGGGTGAGTAATGGATTCATTGGTCACTGGAGGAATTTCAGTGTCAAACCTGTTTTACATATAATTCGCAGAGACTATGGTAAAATGGTTACATTTAAGGGTTTTATTATGAATACTGAAGATCCAATCATACTTCCATCTGATATCCAGCAACTACAACTACGTAAGTGTAAAGGTGGGAGATCAAGTTTAAACGGTATTTTTGGTTTAAAAGATGTAACTGATTTGAGAGAATGTACAATTATTGATAGTTGCAATGGGTTGGAGTCCATTTTTTCCTCATGGTGTGCATCACTCCAAACAATTGAGGTTCTTCATATGAGGTCGTTGAGGAATTTGGAAGCCATAGTTGGAGAGTCAGTACCATCAACGCCTGGCACCTTCTCCTCTCTTAAAGTAATTCATTTAGTTTGGTGTGGAAAATTGAAGAATTTGTCAGCAAAGTGGGTTTTCCACAACTTGGAAGAGATCGAAGTTCGGAGTTGTATAGGAATGGAGGAAATAATAGCATCAGAGATAGAAGGGATGAGTACCGATAACGTCGTCATGTATACTCTTCCCAAATTAAGGATATTGAAATTGGTTCATCTGCCAGAATTGAAGAGCATTTGTAAAACAAATGAAGTAATGGTTTGTGATTCTCTCCAACAAATTGAGATATGGAATTGTCCAAAGCTAAAGAGGATACCTCTATATCTTCCCCTGCTTGAGCTTGGCAATAGCCAACCATCTCCTCCTCGTCTCAAAGAAATCTGTATGGATCCAGAGGAATGCTGGGAGTCAATGGAGTGGGACCATCCAATGCTAGGAATGTCCTTCTACCTTTGCTCAAGTTCCGGAATGGCAGCAATACACAATGGGTGAAAGCTGTTTGATGAACTAATGTTACTACTCACTCTTACATGGTTTCACTCTTACGCTAGACACATACAATGGGAAAGAAGGTTACAGTCAGGCCCAAATGCTGAAGTAAAATCGCAATTCAATCATCTTGATTTCTGATGTTCTATGCTTTGTAATTTTAGATTCAATTCATCCCCATTTTCTTCACCAATTAGTGTGTGTTTGTTGAACTCTTCCAAATTGTGACTGTTAAGCTCCATTTCACAGTCTCAAAAAACAGAGAGTTGGTTTTCTACCATCGAAACAAGGGACTAAGCTTTGTTGTATGATTTGATTTGAAATAAGGTTGTGAACTACTTTATTCAGTGTTTAATACGTGTCTACCAACATTTATAAGGTTTTTATTACGTTTGTTTTCCTTTTGTATTGACTCACCTATGGACAGTTGCTCAGATGATTAGGAATGTTTCTGGAGTAGAGAAAAAAATGGTAGACCAAATGCAAGATCTGAGCACTTTGGAACAAATCATTGGTTGGGGTTGTGACCAAATGGAGGAATTAATAGCATCAGAAGAGGAAGAAGGAATGGTTAGCAGTACCATCAAATTTACTCTTCCCAACTCAAGGGAAGTGGGATTGTGGTACGAATGGAGTATTGGTTTGTGATTCTTTGCTGTTTCTATACTTTCTCTATGTTTAGAGTCAAGCTGCCTAGTGTCAACAAATATACTACTGTTGCCGGTCAGTTAAAATCATTAGTAATTTCATACTATTATACAATGACAAGGGCCAGCATTATATGCAATTATCATCAATGTTGAAGAAAAGTATAATCTTTTAGAAGAATTTTGAAGAAAAAATAGATGAGTTGATGCACTAGTAATAATGGTAGCCACATCTTAGCTCTAAACAACAAATCCTTTTACCCCTAATTTAACTATCAAAAGAGAATAAGCTATTATGTATAAGCATTACTGGAGAATACCTTTGTCATTACCCAAATATTGGCATGGAAGCTTGCAACTATTCATCCCTTTTTCTTTCACCTTTAAACATATCTCCCTTTGTCTTCCAATAATTGAAAATTCTCCAGCTTATGGAAAATAAAATTTCTTGCTATGTAGCCTACAGATACCGAATGAGTTCAACGGCAAACTTTCCCTTCCTTGTAGTGTTTATTTCTCCTATCTGGACAAAGAAAACCTAAATGTGAGAAGGCTAAACTAAAATGTAGAGGACCTTTTACCAGACAGCAGGATTTGATCGAATCAATAGTTCACCTTTAGTCTTCCTTTCCTGCTAACTGAGACAATATCTCCAGTCTTGAGAATTGTTCCATTTTTTGTAACACTTGTCCAATTTACACGCACATCCCCATTACTAAAACAAACAGAGAACATGAGAGTGGTCATCCTTAGGTTTTCACCAAAATTTCAATGGAAAATAAAAACCTTTTACAAGTCAAATCTTTACTTTGATTCTCCAACCAAATTGAATCTGTTTTGATTTGAATCGAAAAACTATATTATACAATTTTGGAGTAGTAGGTTGCTGTCTTTTCAAAGTTGAAATTTCAAATGATTACAATTAAACTCTGATCATTTCAAAATGCCATAATGCAATTCAAATTGCCATTCCTAACCCAATTGAAAATTTTACAAAGGAAAAGGATGACATTTTACAGGCAGCACCGGATGGTAGATATAGTCTCTTCAAAATAGTCTAGTTAAGCAAAACAAAAAGACAAGATTTAAACCTGTGGTTGTGTCAAATCTGCAAATTATCCTCTAGAGTTGGGCTAAGATATTTAACCTCAAAGATGATTATGAGGTTCCACTATTCGGGAAAGCTGATGAAAATGGTTTAGTCAGATGATAACTAAAGAGGATGGTACTATACCAACACGCCAGAGGCTCCATTTAAGTGCTAGGTGTGACCAGATACAGTGGGTCCAATTATTCCACAAAGACAGATCCATTGAAGAAAAAGAAGAATGCAAAAAGGAATGTTAGCACCATGCAGCATAATTGAAAGTACAGGAGGCTGTTTGAACATATAGCAAAGAATTAAATAAAACAACATAGTAAAATGAATATCAGTAGATAGTTTCTCTTTAAGCAGCAAAAAAAGTGTACCTGATCAAATTAACTAGTTTAGACCTTGAAATCTTAAACCCTGCACTAGCTAGAGCATCAACCCGTAGTGATGCTTCTACGGTTTTGAATGACTGTGTCCTGCAAAGGTAACATGAACTCATTGCTGAATACAAATGATAAGTGCCACAAATTGGAGACAAAAATGACGACAACTATGGGTGGTTTGTACCTTGGTGGCTCATATTCAAGAGCAAGGAGAGGTATCTGCATACATGATACTGATATATTGCCGACCTGCAAAAGATATATACATCATGAAAAGAGCCGGTAGAGTAATATATCAGAGTATTAAGGAAAATCTTAATGACAGCACGTGAACCATGTTTACAAAAATAACATCCTGCTCCACTTAGCAAGATTTTCTCATACTATTAGAACTAATGACTATATTCAATTGTTAATAAAATAACAGCCTTATTTACCACAAAAGTATCATACTATGGTGACAGAAGATATATTGGCTTTCAACGTGATACTATCAGTGTTCCAGAATAAAAATTTCAATACAAGATAGATTATATAATACAATGCCAGCAATAATGTTCATTACAGACTATCCTACAGAGTGAAAAGATTTAAAATAATCAGAGTCATTGAGAAAGGTCGTGTCAACAGACATTCAATGAATCTGAGGGAAAATATTCACCTTGTCCAAGGTTGACATAAGAAAGTCAACAAGTTCTGGAACAATCAGAATATGAGCTCCCTTTTCTCCCTAGATAACAATTAAGATAGATTAGCCTGGTTCAAAAGAAAATGGTATGCTAAATTACATTTTGACAAGTAAAAGTTATTGAATCATCTAAATATCAAAAAAACAAGAGAGAGACAGAGAATTTGACAGGATGCAACATTAAATGCAGAGAAAGCTTCTCTGTTAATATGGTAGTTAAGCAGCCAGCAGGTACTTTGAATCAAGCTATAAAGGATCTTAATGCAAGAAATTACACTGGTGCTCTTCATAGCCAGTCTCCATATGAATATTTAAAATAGAAGATACCTGCAAGATAATATCCCCAAGCTTCTCTCTAGCAATACCTGTACCAAGAATTGCACCGAGGAAGTCACCATGAGAACAAGGTTGAAAGCCGAAGTTTCCTGTGATGCTGAGAAAGAAAAAACTAAATATGCAGAAATTTTGATTCAGGGTTTTAAATACTGTCCAGCATTTATCAGTTTTTGATGAGGAAGAATCTGACTCACTTTAATGCTGCAACTACATCAGGATCACTGGTCAATACTTCTGAATGTCCAATAGAAATGCGACAACGCTCAGCCTAAAGGATCAAGAAGATTCAACAAGTTTTATAACCAAAGAAATCAATCAAGGCAAAGTAAACTGAATCTCATGTAGTCAACCTGAGGGTATCCTCCCTGAGCAACCGCTTTGACATCAGCCAGTTTTCCCAAAACTAGCATTGACTCCTTTATTACTGGTGGGGTGAGAAAATCTGTATGGAGGACCTCTCTTCTTGTTGCTGCCCGTCTAGCCTAAAAGAGCATTGATGAAATCCAAATAGATGAGAGGGTAAACAGACAGAAACTATTAACATTTTCTGCTAAAAATAGATAGACATTATATTTCAATTGCTACAAAGCTGTTTAACTTCTGACCTCCCCAAAGAAAATTGTTTAGAGAGTCAGATGGTTCTGAGTAGGAACTAAAGGCAAGGACCAAAAAAAAAGAGTAGGTACTAAAGGCAGATATGTCAAAAAGGTAATGAAAATACCATTTCAAGAATATGTTTCACTTCTTCGATAGCACTTTTATCTCCCACTCCTTTAAGTAAAACATCATTATCCCCCTTTATAACTTGGGCAACGTGACATAACCCTGAATATGCATTTTTCAAAATTTTAAATAGGATGTAATCAGACACAAAATCAAATTTCTCTCATATATGCTAAGCATCCCACTTATTGACGCATGCACATAGTGTAGAGATAACAGAAAACAATAGTAAAGCCAGGTCCTGCATGAGTTAATCCTACGGCTGACTACCAATGATAGAAGAACAGGTTCAACAGCCATGGTCAACATCGGATATTGCACATATTTAATATACAATAACTTCCAGATAAGTAGATAAATTATAAGAAAACAATTACTATGAGCTGCCTTGTGTACAAAGTAGTTCTTGGCATAATAACAAAAAGCTAAAGTAGGCTAGTCGCCAATGCACTCTTAACCTAGTAGGCGTGCAGAAATCCCCACGTTTGATGGTACAAGAGGCAATACATTTTGGGATCTGGCTGAGGCACACAGCCAGGCATTCTTCCTTTGAAACCACGGCTAGTGTTGCAGCACTAATTGGTATATTTTAAAGAAAGGAAACATTTATTTTCTTAGAAGAGTAATACAACTGACTTACATATTCATATGAGCCACAACATTGTTATTTTTCCTAGCTTCAGTTCCTTCCCCCTTTCTTTTATAGATGTGTGCTCATCATATTCTTCTAATTTAGCTTAATTGGTGTCTCTAATTACACCAAGATTACTACAAAAAAAAACCAGAAAAAATGTAAATCCCTCTACTTTAGCTCAATGGGTATCTCTATTTATAAAAAAGTTTACAACAAAATCAATCAAAATGAAGTAACACATAAACGAAAATCAACGACAAAACAAAAGCCAAATAGATATATGAATCCATTTCAAAACCTGAACTTCTCAGTGGAGTTTGAACCGGAAAGGAGCAACGATTTCCACAGAAAGAAAGGTTTCTGTTGATGTGAAGAGGTTGAGAGAAAGCCAACGCTTGAAATGCTCTTCGGAGAAGCCATGGAGCAGTGACGCTGGCGGCAGCCATGGTCGTTTTGTTCGTTTTCCGTTTAACAAAAAACAATAGTCTAAAATAATGTATTATTTAACTTTCGGCCCAAAAAACTCGTTAAAATTATTTTAATTTTTCATATATATGCATATATATATATATATAATTAACTAAAACAATAGTCTAAATAACGTATTTGATAGAACTTACATTAAATATGAAAAAAAAATTATTTTTAAAATTAATTTTATTTAAGCATTTTTAATTATTAAACTTCTTTTAAATGATTTTAATTAAAATATTAAAAATTATCATAATATTACATATCTGTAAAAAAATAGATAAGTCTTGAAAATATAAATATGAATATTTTATCATTTATAGTCATGATTTTTAAATTGAAAATACATAATTTATAAATTTACTTAAATTTTATCTATATAACTTAAAGTCATAAAGAACAAAATTTAACTTTTAACCCGTCACAATATTGACAAGCAATTTTTAGCATTTTAAAAGTAATAGTTTATAAGCATTCCTAAGGCATTTATTGATATTTATCTTTTGTTAATAACAATAATAATAATAATAGAATTTAAGATTTTGAGTTTAGGATTTATCTTTTAATAATAATGATGATAATAATAATAATAGTACAACAGATAATACAGAACAAGGCCAAGCCCAACTATGAACCGATAGAAAAACCAAAATCCGCAAAAAAGTTTTGGCTTCACACTGAAAACCCAACCCGATCCTCATAAAACTAATAATACTACTTACCCAATTCTTTACCGAATGTGTCTCCATAAGATATATTGAAGTTGAAGTAAACTAAGTGCTTGTTTAGTTTGATTATTTTTCAGTTTATTTATTTTTTTAAAAGTAAAAATTAAGTTAAATATAATTTTTAAAAAATAACTTATTTAAAAAAAACAAATTTTTTTAAAAACTTAAAAAAAAACTCTGAAAAACTTTCTTTAAAAAAAAACACATCAATTTTTTAAAAAATACTCATCTTTCAATCAATCTCCCTCTCCTGTCATTTCTTCTGCAAATCATCATTCTTCAACGCAAATTGCTATATCCCTCTCCTCGATCTCTCTGTACAAAAACTACCAAGAAAAAAAATAAAAGACTCAATAACAAAATAATAAAATTTAAATTTTTTTATTCTTATAAAGATTAAGAGAAAAAAAATTCAAATTCAAAACTATATTCAGATATTATTTAAAGATTTTTTCTCTTTTTCAGGATTTTAATGTCAAATACATTGTTTTCTCTTTTCTCTTTGTTTTTAGGGAATTGAAACATCTTGATCTCATTGCTTATTAAATTAATAAAAATCTAATACTATTGCTACTATATAAGTTTGAATGTTGTTTCATTTCTTTGATTTTAACATCTAAAATTGTATGTAAACTCGAAATATTTCGCTATAGTTCATTAAATAATTAAAGATAACATGAATATCTTTCATGATAATTTTAACCGAAATTAAAACTTATATAATTTTTTTTGTTAAACAGTTTATCAAACAGTTTTAATTTAATTTTAAAAGTTATTATTTTTTATAAGAACTTTATAATAGTTTTTAAGTTAAAACAAATTAAGCCAAACAAATTTTAAGACCAAAAGATATCACTTTTTTTTACAAATGAAAAAACGAGTGAATTCGAGACATATATAATACGTAATTACCTTCTATCACGTTTATCGTAATAAAAAGAACATAAATCATCACAAAAATTAAAGTTTTGAACTTTGGTGGAAAAGTTGTATGAAAGAGAAAATAGATAGGGGACTTTGTTTTTTCTCTTGGTTTGTTGATGGGTTCTAAGTGTAAGCACATGATTTTGGAAAATGTAGGGTAATTAATTATTTTATGCAAAAAGTTAATCAGAGTACCATATTTTCCAACATGTAGGGTTTATTCATCTTATAATCCTTTTCAAAACTTTGTAATCTATTGAAGCACCATTGCTCTTTTACCATTGTTTCTACAATTAATGGTATGTTTGACATCCTAACAATTTTTTCTATTTAATTTTAATTATCTTGAATCAATGTGATTGAAAGAATTATTTTGAAATTTTCAAAATCAAAATTCGAGACTTGTCATAGATAAAGATTGCTATAAATGACGTCTTGAATTGAACTTGAAAAATTAAGTAATTGGTTAACATAAATGTGAGTCAATTTTTTATAACATTAATCAATTACTTAATTTTTAAAATTTATAACATATAAATTTATATTTAAATTCTACACGAATGTCAATAAATATACGAGAAGATTATTGAAAGATCTCCGATCTCAACCCATAAACTACGTATTAAGCGTGATGGTTATGTTAAACTTATGAAAAAGACCTGGACATGATCGGATTAGGGTCTTATGGCTAGTATAAGGTTAACTTGGCCTATCCAAGCTCCATTAGTTTCCCAGTTAAAAGACAAAATGAGAGCTGTCTCATATGAACCCCCTACTTGGCGCATTAAAGGTGCCATAGCCCCAGCCCTCAACGAACCAAATAGTAACCACATGTGGAGTCTAGTGGAAGACTAGTTATACCTTTGACCCTGAGTCTTGACTAGGGCCAAACCTTTCCAAAGCCGAAACCAAACCCCATCAAGAACCAGTCAACACTCAAAGTACCCTGTCAAATTCTTTGCTGACTGCTTTCATTATCAAACAACAGTACCAACTAATAGAAACAATGCACTTTATCAAAGGAAAGAGTCCACACGGCTCAATTATATCAAATACCCCAAATTCATTTTTTTTTTATTGGGATAACCCCTTTGATCATGCCGACGCAAACCCAAAGTCTATTGGGCTTTGGGGAGCTTTGGGGGACAGTGGTTGATAAGGTGTTGAAAGACAAGTGCTATTTGGTGTTGCAACAACTAAATGGTTTCTACACTAGGGCATTAGTCCAAACAGAAGAAGGCATTCTAACCAAGGCTATGGTCAAACACCCCCCCCAAAGTCCAAAAATAATCTTTTGTAAGCTCTTTGGAATCAAGTCCACTAGAATTTGGAGTGCGTTTTAATTTGCTGCTAGTGTTATCTCCATTCTCTACTTGTCCAACATGTAATCGACCCATTTATGAGTATATATAGTTTGTGAGTTTTACCTAAGCCAAAAGAGTAATGGAAAATGTTTAATTTGAAGAATTTTGATAAAATAGTAAATATAATTTTCTTTTGTTTGCGTAAAATTCAAGTTCTTTCACTTTACGTAAAATAAATAAATGAACATGATAAAAAATTATATTTTTAAAAAAAGGTTATTCAATATGGGAGATGTCTTTTTTGGACTAGTAGTATATAATAACAAGCAGGATTAGAATACTTCATTCAAGAACTAAGAGCCATATCCGTAGCCATACTAAACTACTCTAGGTATTGCAGCCTCTTTTTCCTTTTAACATTTTTCAGTTTTTCTCCAATGGGAAACAGAACAAAGCTTCTGCCCTCTCTTCATGTTCTGATCCTTTACTTTCTATCCTTTCTGACCTATCTCTCCATTGAAATGGATACCATATATCCAGGCCAATCACTCTCTGGTAATCAAACTATCACCTCAGAAAATGGATGGTTTGAGCTTGGTTTCTTTAAGCCAGGCAACTCCTCACACTTCTACGTAGGCATCTGGTACAAGAAACTTCCAGGTCAAACTGTGGTCTGGGTGGCTAACAGAGATATACCACTTCTTGATCCTTCCACTTCAAAACTTCAACTCTCTGAAAAGGGTAACCTTGTCCTCTGCAACCGATCTGAAATCCCACTTTGGTCAGCTGAGTCATCAGCGAACTCCATAAATTCCACTGTTGCAGTTCTTGAGGACAGTGGAAATCTTGTTTTGAGAAATAGTTCAAACGCCTCCGTCATCCAATGGCAAAGCTTCGATCACCCTACCGATACTTGGCTGCCTGGCGCCAAGCTTGGGATAAATAAGATGACCAAAAAAGGGAATACCTACATTTCATGGAGCAATTCAAATGATCCTGCCACTGGACCATTTTCCCTGGGGCTAGACCCCAATGGAACGAGCACGTATTTCATACTGCAGAATGGGAAAAGGCACTGGACTTGTGGGATGTGGCTAGAAAGAGTTTCTTCTTTTAGCACTGATACAGTTACTAGCGAATATTCCACTGTAAGCTATGAGTCAACTGAGAAAGAAAACTTCTACTCTTACTCGGTGACCAACTCCTCGATTCCTGTAAGATACGTGATGGATATATCCGGGCAGCTACAGCAACTCGTATGGCAAGATGATTCTATGAAGTGGCTATCGATTTGGGCAAAACCAAAGGATCAATGTGAAATCTATGCTTTTTGTGGAGCATATGGAGCCTGCAATCAGTTCAGTTCGAGGACGAGATGCAAATGCTTGGATGGATTTGAACCTAAAATACCTGGACAATGGAATTCAGGTAATTACTCGCATGGTTGTACTAGGAGAACTCCATTGCAGTGCAACAAAGGTGAGAAAGATGGCTTCCAAGTGATTTCTAACATAAGAATACCTGCGAATGATGTGCCCTTGACAAATGCTAAGAGCTTGGAAGAGTGTAAATCAGCCTGCTTAAGAGACTGCTCTTGTACTGCATGCACCTTTCATGGTAACTGCTCCATATGGCGAGAGGATCTGTTGAACATCCAATATCTCTCATTTGGTGACTATCTGGGAAGAGATCTATATCTGCGGCTTCCAATGACAGAGCTGCCAGCTTTAAAATGTAAGACGAGGGGAAGAATTGAGTGGTTCACTATTAACGCTGCTGCAGCAATTGTAATTTCGATTGCTATCTTGGGACTCCTTGTTTCAATGTGCAGAAGGAAAATTTTCTCTGATACTAAACCTATCCATGATGTTCTGATCCTCTTCAAGTTCAGTGATTTAAAGAGTGCAACAAAGAATTTTTCTGAAAAATTAGGTGAAGGAGGCTTTGGTTCTGTCTTCAAAGGAACACTTCCAAATTCAGTTGCCATAGCTGTAAAGAGTCTCAAATGCCTAGACCAAGAAGAGAAACAGTTCCGCACTGAATTGAGCACCATTGGGACAATCCACCATGTTAATCTTGTTCGCCTCCTGGGGTTCTCCGTGAAGGGAAAGAAGAGGTTTCTAGTATATGAGTGCATGCCAAATGGTTCCTTGGACAGTCATCTGTTTTATAAGGATTCAAAGATCCTAGACTGGAAAACAAGATATCATATTGCACTGGGAATAGCTCGAGGATTAGCCTATCTACATGATAAGTGCAGAGAATGCATCATACACTGTGATATCAAGCCTGAGAACATTCTGCTTGATGCTGACTATAATCCTATACTTTCTGACTTCGGCCTAGCAAAGCTGTTAGGCAGGGATTTCAGCCGTGTGTTGACTACAATGAAAGGAACCAGAGGGTACCTTGCACCTGAAATGATTTCAGGTGATCCAATCACTCCAAAATCTGATGTTTTCAGCTATGGGATGTTGCTTTTGGAGATTATATCAGGAAGGAGAAACTGGGAGATAAGACTTGACGGGCCAGATGCTTACTTCCCAGCTTGTGCTGCAAACAGCGTAAGCAATGGAGGAGATGTACTAAGTTTGTTGGATTCCAAGTTGCAGGGGAATGCAAATGCAAAAGAAGTCATCAGAACTTGTAGAGTTGCATGTTGGTGCATCCAAGATGAAGAGGAAAGAAGGCCATCCATGGGGAATGTTGTTCAGATCTTTGAGGGAGTGCAAGAGGTGAACATGCCACCGATTCCACGGTTTATCCAGACCATCACAAACTATACAAAAAATGCGGAATAGTCTTTGACAAGTGAGAAGAAATGTAGTACATAAAACTGCTTACTAGGTCCTGTGCACTAGTTTCACGAATAATATGTTGTAGCTTCATATATAGTCAAGTTTCAATTACCACATACCATCAGAGTAGCTTTAGGCTTTAGCTTTCCTTCGGGTTGCATCTTTCCCTGTATAATATAAAAATCCTCATATATAATCTTCGCATGAACACCCTGCAATCAATCTACTGAAACCTTCCAGGACAATAATACATAATCTGGAATGAAATCACTTCAAAAAGTCAACTTTACCACCTTTATCATTTAGGATCTAATTCAATTACGGAAATGCTACCAAAGCAACAGTCCTCTATAAAGGCTTCTCATGGCATCTTCTCAAATTGATAGAAGTCAAAATTTGAAAAATACAACCAACCAAACCATAAGTACATAGTTTTGGCCTCAATAAGCATTCGGACTGAACTACCAGCAACATTATGAGGTTTTAGTCCATCCCACACGGGATGCAAAGAACAAAATTAACTAAATTTTCCCACTATGGACCTAGCTACTTGCATGTTGATCAACCAAAAAAGTTGTCCATAATTCTCAGTTCCATTCAAGTAAACTTCTTCAGACAAGATAATAGTAACCCAACGCTAGAAGTATCAGCACCACCAATGCAGCAGGAGCAGCCCATATCCAGTAGTTGGTCGACTTCTTACGTTTCAGGATGGCTCTTGGGAGTGACTCAGGTCCTTTAACTCGATTTCTGTACCTAACAGTATTCTCCTTTTGTACTCTATCCTTCACTGGAACTGGAGCAGGTACAGGAGCATCAGCATTAACATCAACTTTCTCAGGTTCTGAAGCCTCTGCTACATCTTCAGTTTGTTCCTCAGGATTTGCAGCAGTTGCAGATGCTGCCGCCTTCTTCTTAGCTTTCTTTTCACGCTCCTGAAAAAATCAAAAGGATTTCAGTTTCAACCTGCAAACCAATTATCAAGAAGCAAAATAAGATAAAGAAAATAATTTCCTTCAGCTTCTTCTCAGCTTCCTTCTGAGCTCTTATAGCTGCTTTGGCTGCTGCTTTCTCAGCCAATTTCTTCTTCCTTTCCATGGCTTGCTTTGCTTTTGCTATTTCCTCTTCTCTCTTCATTTCTTTCAGTTTTGCTGCATCAACTTCCTCGTCTGCAGAAGTGTCCTTTTGCAACTTGCCTGATCCAGAGATCTCTTTCTCTGCTACAATACCATTCTCTGCAGAAGATTTAGACTCCATTACTTTGGTCTCAGCATCTTTCTGGACCTTTTTAGTGAGTTTAGTATCTGGCTGGGGAGAGGATTTGATTTCTTCCTTTGGTTGTTTTACAACAGCTTTCGAAATGGTTTCAGTTTCAGAAGGCAACGGTGCCTCTGGTACAACGAGTGGTTTCTCATCAGGATTCCTTATCCGACCATCCCTACTCATTTGCCTACTGTCCAGGGATGGCAGAATTCTTTTCTCGTAATCATCCCTGAAGGCTTTCTTGCCACTCCAGAGAGCCATAAACTTCTCAACCTAAAAGCAAGATAAAAGATAAGAAAGCAGCCAAATGCTAAAGCACATGAGATACCCTGAATGAAACACTAATCAGCAGTCTCCACAAACCTCTGCAATCGAAAGCTCCTCAAGCGCCTTTATATCTTTCTTTGCAGCTAGCTCTTTGGCTTTGTTTAAGAGTGAACGGCTCTGGTAAAAGTGAGCATTCTGAAAAATTGAGAAAGAAAAAAGGTAGTAATTAAAAGGAGTGCTTAGTATTAGCACGCTCAACGAAGTTTGGACGTTGACCAATATAATACATGTCATTTAGCTTCGTGATAGACCTAAACAGACGATACAATGAAAAAACCACAAAAAGTTAATCTAACCAAGGCTTTTGCTCAAACAATTTATCAATGCACCATGAAAAATGATGCCACAGAAGCTTTTAAAAGGATCTGTATTGTTATACACAAGCCACATGATAAGGTTATTTTGTTAATATACTTCCTCAGCCATTCTTTCCCGGAAGCTCTCCCTTGTTCTTGTGCTCTGAACCAACAATAAGGGGTCATTCCCCGTTACAGGCCCATAAAAGTGAAGTTCTATAGTATTACAGAAGAAATCCTAACTTTGGCTTCTTCACATAGTGAACACAATATGAACAAAAAAATAAGCTCATATTCTTGTGAGCCTAAGAGTTTCATCATTCTATTAAAACAATGGCCTATTGCACTGATCAATGATGTGCCAGTGAATCCATGATGCTAGAATAACAATTTTGATCACCGTACAAGCAGCCAAATATTCAAACTCAAGCATCAAAATTGCAAACTATAACTTCATTAAAACCAACTCAATCACACACAAACACCCACATTGCTTTTCCTTATATAACTTGTATACCGCAAAATATTTACACCTGTGACACCAGCAAGCTGCTCTCAAACAGAAATGACAACAGATGTTCATATATACCATAAGACATTTACATGTGTGTATCTGTGTGCATGTTCTGGTAAATGACAACAAAGAATCAATAAGATTCCAAGAACAAGCCATCTGACCCAGCAGAGGGTAAACAGTAGCAGGTTTTATTGATCTCCCATCACACAATGCAGAGAACTGTCTAAAAATATTTCATTATTAATACCAGAATATACAATTTGCACAAAAAATACATGGTATCACCACAATCAAGACAACAACAGGCTCAGTAAAAAATGAAGAAGAAATGCTAAATTTTGTCAAGACATTCATAAGCAGGGCCAAGAAGAATTACTACATCTCAATGCAAGAGACATAGTCCTTCCCGGGCCAATAGACAAATCCTGATACATGCACATCCCATACAGAGAAAAAAGAATAGGGCTAAAAATGTTGCAAGCAAACTGAGTAAAGAGTAGACCATCATATCACCAGAAAAATTAGGCCTAAGAATCACATTGAAAAATATTTTATAGAACGAAGAAGATCATTCTAAGGCCACACCATCAGCTCAGAATTTTCAATGCACGCAAGATATCTGAATTGACAGTATCACTTCATGTATTAATGCATGTTTGAAGGGCCATGTATACATATGAAACAGAGATCTTAAGATTTGAAGCAAAGAAAACACATACCCCCTCATCACGTTGTTTCCTCAATTCCTGAATGGTTTCATAAGCTTTGTCCCTCTTCTGGATCACAGCTGTCAGCTCCTCCTGCAAAGAGTCAATTTTAATGTCTATTGCCTTCACCTTTTCTTTAATTTGATTCTTCTTGGACCAGAGTGCTTGCTGCTCCTTCCTAACTCCATCCAAATCAACACCCATAAGCTACAAAAAAACAATAAAGCAAGTTTATTAGTGTAATTGAGATAATAGCCTATATTAATACGGGGAAGGGGAAAAGCAACACTCTGATAGATAAAAAGTGCAAAATTGAATTTTCTTACTTTAACCTGATCTTGAATGGCTTCTTTCTGACCCAATGAATCCTGAATCTTTGCTCTCATTGCAGCATTAGCAATAACTTTTTCCCTGGTTCCCTCTAGTTGTTTGATTTCTCTAAGGAGTTGCTTCTCCTCACTCAATGGGATGCTTTCATGCTGAATGCGATATTGCAAGCTATGGATCTGCAATTAATCAATTTCCAAGAAGTGACTATAATGGAAAGCAAAGGAAAAGGATTAACTGCATCAGAAAACAATTGACAAATCAGTCAAAGTTCACAGTAATATCATACGACATCATTGAGCTCTTCCTCAGATGAACATATACCACCACGACCACCAGCATTGTTATTATTTCGAAGCTTGCCCAAAGCCTGCTGCAGAGGTTCCATTTCCTTCTTTTTCTCATCAAAAATCGCCTTAAATTGCTCAAAATCGATATTCAGGGCTTTCACTTGAGAAAGCAACTCTGCTCGATCTGACTGCATTAAGATAAAGAGAGATAATACTTTAAAAAAAGCTAAAATTGGGGCAAGCTGGCAGCATAATTATTTTTAAACTTCAATTTGGCTCAACATTTTGAGGCAAATACAACAATAAGCAATCGATATACCAAAACAGTATCCTACACCACAAACTAAACTACATTAGCATATGTGTAATTGTTATTACATGCTAAAGGACTAAAATTTCCAACATTCACATAAATGCATCAGGTTCAACGCCTCTACATTCATCATATTACTATAAGCACATCCAATTGCATTCAAAACAAGATTGAAAGACTCGTCATGACCTTAATGTAACCAAATCTACAGGAGCCAATGAAAAGTAAAACACAATAGGGCAAATAAAGATCTTGAAGTATGCAAACAAATGGTTAATAAAAAGGGTACCATAACCAGAAACCTAGCATATTTGACACATAATGGATGATGTGACGCCTTTATTGAGCTAGTTTCAGACAAACGATAATGCTATACATGGAGTCAAAATTAATAGCTTTTCACTCACCCTCTTCACTTTTAAGTCCTCAGTAAGCTGAAACCTGGCTTTATTCCACTTTTGAATCTCTTTATCAGCCTGATCAATTTTGGGTTTTATCTTCGGATCGTCATAAGGGCGATACCTGACAAAATAAAAGGAGTGGATCTGCTTAGGTGCAGGCCACTCGTCAACTGCATCCTTTGGAAAGTTGGCATCAGACGCATTAATCTCTTCTCCCTTATCTGGTTCCTCACCATGGGAACCCAATTTAATTGGCTCGTCATGAACTGGATCCTTGTCCAGTTTCCCATTTTCCTTATCATGCAGAAATGATTTCTCTACTTCAGCTACTTTGTCAACAGATACTTGTGCCATGTCTGATCCCACAACCTCAATACCCATTAATCACAAAAGTGAACAACCTAATGAAATCCGAAGACCCTGATAACAACAAAAAAGATTCCACATTATATAATCAAAATTTAAAAACCAGTTCAGGTATAAAAACAATAAGAATCAAAGATCAATCCAAAGAAATTTGCTTTACCAGCTTTTTGTCCACAGGATCAAAAGAGTCAACAAGCTGGTAAAATCAAATTACTCGATTGACACAAACAAATAAGACATTACATAAACAAATTCCAAAAATAAAATAAAAAAACTGTTTTATCCATAAAAATTAAAATAGACCAATCCAAAGCAATTTCTTTTTGCTAGTTTTCTTATTAATCAGATCAAAAGAATTAACAAGTAGAATAATTTCAAACAAATGAACCAAACTTTTCGGTATATTCTACCTGAGATCTTTACAATCAAGATCAATTAAATAAATTGAACAACAAAAATATATGATTGATCAACTACAATAACAAAAAAATAATAATAAGACAAAATCCACATCAAAAATTATACAAAATGGAGCACACCTAATCAAAAAAAGCATGTTATAGCACAAGATCAAGCCGTCGTCGACCGAGAAAACTAACACGCAAAATCTCAAACTTTCAAAGCATGAAATGAAAAAGTCAACAGATCACAATGGAAAAACAAAAACCCAGAGAGCAAAACATAAGAAATGAGAGAAAGATTAAATGATTACCCTTTTAGACAGATTAAGAGAGGAGAGGACCCTTTTAGACAAAAAAAAAAGGGTCTAAAGAAAATTTTAAGAGTTTTGGCAAAGGGAAGAGAGATGGGTCAGATCTCAGTCTCTTTCCCTTCTGTTTCTCTTCTGCTTCTTTTCAATAGAGAGAGAGAAAGGGCAAGGCAGGAAGAGGAGAGAGATTTTAGCTCTATATTAATGCCTGTCTTGAAGAGAGAGAAATAGAAGGAAAGAGGATAAAAAAGGAGATTTTTCATGTGGGCATAGAGAGAGGATTTTTCTTTGGTTTGCTCTTTGTGGAGTTTAGAACAGAAAAAGTCTTGGTTTCTGTTATTGCCAAGGTAATTCTCTTGTTTTTAGTCCTAAAAAAAATTAAAATTAATAAATATTGTCTATGAAATCATCTAAATCTAAATTCAAACATTAATATTTTAAATTTTAATTCAAGGGTTTTTCAAATCTAGATTATTGCAAAATATTTGGAATAGGAATTAATATTGTAATATATTTTTGAGGGATTTTAATATATTTTTTAAATGGAATTAGGATTTTAAACTACAATCCCATTTTATGAAATAAACTTTAATATTTTTAATAGTGAAAATAATCCTTAAGTTAAATTTAAGTTGTTGGTTATAGTTTGATTTTCTTATTTTTTGATATGAGATATTTTTATATACATGGAGAATAGACAATTCAAACCTTACTAAGTATGCATTATGAAAATTTTAAAATAATTTAATAATTAATCATAAATTATTCATATCCATAAAAATGATGAGATATTAAATCAAATAAATTGCATAAAAACCAATCAATCACATAAACAACATATAAACTATAAATAATAATAATAATTAAATAAGCATAATATATCATAAATTTTACATCAATAAGAAATAAGTGAGTCTTAAGTATATAAATATAAATTTTCATCACCTATTAAGTATATCTTTTGAGTTAAAACATGAATTCATAATTTATAAATTTATTTAAAATCTCTATTTTAAGATGATAGTATTTTTTTTATGAATAAAAAGTCAGTGCAATGAGAACGTTATACCGTTAATGAAATAAATTCTAAGATAAAAATGATATTAAGATAAAAATGATATAGTCAAGGCTGAAATTTATAAAAATAATAAATAAAACAAAAGAAGGAAGAAAAAGGGAAAGAAAAAACCAAAAAAAGGAGAAAAGTAAGCAAAAAAAAAATTACAAGGTACAATTTGGATTCGTAAAGTGATGGCTCTGCCTTTGTCCCCTTATCCTTTAGTAGCCTTGATTTTATTAGAATTTGCCTTGGCAATATCCATATTTATTCCTGAACACGTGGTAATTCCACGAATCCAAAATCTCACGACATGGAGCGTCGATGATTGCGAGAGCGGACGCGTCGGCAAAGTAAAAGTACAAAAATACCCCCATTTTGTATGCAAAATCACATTTGCAGAACGTTAAGCCAATTTTGGAAATAAATCCTTTAAAAAATCCAAAGTATGGGATCAGGAAGGGGGGGTGCCCTTATGACCATTTCTATTAAGTACGTTGCCCCAAATTGTAGGGCTCTTTCAATGGTCAAATTTTGCTAAAGCTTGTTCTCTCTTTCTTGTTTGAGTAGCATTCTCTATTTCTTTATATAATCTTTAGTGAACCATAACTTTCATTCCCAAAAAATTCAATTATTAAACAACGAGATTTTCATAAATTTATTTATGTACGAATGATGATTTAAATTTTAAATGTAAATTGTCTTAAACAAAAGATAAACAGGTGTTTATTGATTAAATAGGGTTACATGGCATGAAAAAGAGGTAAAGTTTTGATGGGGGAGCCAAATTGTGTTTGATAATTTAATGTCCTTGGTAACTTTGAAACTACATAATTTATGAGCTTTAATTGAATTCGGCTTTGCTTTAGTATGTGTACAATCAATGTAACGGTTCGACCACATAGTCGGTTTCTCCATAACTTTTTACAAAAATTAAGTCGAAGGTTCTGATCCCATTTTTTCTTTAATTAAACTTCTTCTAGGTACCACAACTATCAAAGATTAAAAATTGTAACTAATGGCAACTTATTCAAACATCTTCTTCCTATACTTAAATAAAAGAATCAATATTTTTTTTTACAAAAAATATACAAAATAATGTATAGTTTAAATCACTATTCTTTTAATAGGTAAATTTAAATTCAAAATTTGATACTCTTCTTTTCTCTCAACTTTAATACATCGAATTAATTCAAGTGATAAAGGTTTTGATGAAAATTCTGCAATAATATTTTGTTTTGGACAAGGATCGATGGAAGACGATTTCAATTTTAAGTTATAATTTAATTTTTTTAAAAATGATTAATTTTTTTTAATTGAATTATTAATTTGATCTATAATTTTATATGATTATCGTTTTTAACTATCCTTGATATAAATTTTGGTCCGTGACTGCTGTTGATAATATTAATTCAAGTTACTTTTGCTAGTCTATAAATTTCCTTACAAAATATGCTCTTATTTGGACGTTATGAGGGCCACATGGGCAATAAAGAAGGCTGATAGGGCTGAAGCCATTGCCCTCAGGCCTTTTGCTTTTGGGTACGACAGAGGGCTGAAGCAATTGGCCACAAGGAAAGAGCATTCCAAATATATTAATTGCATTAGTGGTAAGATGGATTTAATTCTTTTAGCTATGCTCTTGCCTTTATTTTTAGTTTATTGTGTTTTTAAGAAAGTAAATATAAATTAAAACTCGAATTAGCATATCTAGTGTAACCAATGCCAAGGATATTGAATTTCATCGTAATAGATTCTCAATCAAATATCATATCAAAATATGTAAATCAATCAATTTAAATTACAATCTCAAAGCTTCTTAATTAAATGATTCTAGGGATCATTAAGCACACAATCAGCAGCAATTTTCTTGATGCGTAGGTTTAATTCGATGTTGTAAATCACGATACCATATTTTTATTTATTTTTATAAATAAAAATAAATTTATCACAACTTTTTTTATATGTATTTGACATTATAAAACAGCTTCCATTTCAACATCAAAGAATGGAAATAAACCAAACCCTCAAAACTATATAATATAAAACACAGTTCAATGTGCGGCCAATAAATGAAAGAAATAAAAAAGCAAAGCGTGACAAAAATGACTTGGCTTTGTACGAAGATAAGCCCCGATCTAAAACATGTGAAATCTCCAAAGTCAAACGGATGATCGATCCATCCGCATTAAATCTCGGTGGATGGGCGGTTGATGTACGATCGTGAAGCCCATTAAATTCTTTTTGGGGAAAGTGGAGGGCGGGGTCCCATCTACGACATCAAAATTCCAAATCAGAAGGATGATGTTTGGCCGTAATAATTGTGTAATACCTCGCGTCATCAGCCAATAAAATCTATCCACTTAGAATGTCCGTTCATTGAATCTTGGAGAGTCGTGGGAGTCGTTGTCGTGTATCTCACTCACACAGAACCAAAGTACACAATATTGTTCTTGATATGATTTTTTATTTTACTTTTTTTTTTAGCTTAATAGTTTATGTGGCGGCTATTTCAAGTTTTAGCTTCATGAATTATTTATTATTTTTTTCTTATTTTAATTGTTTGATTTATTAGCAATTATGACAATTTATACATATTAGTACAATTGGGATTTAGTTGAAATTCAAAAGAACCAGTAAAATTTACTCTAAGACATAACTATTTATTCTATAAAACATAACATTTGAGTTATAATATAACTTTCCAATAATCAAAACTTTTTTCATATGGAAAAACATAATTCTTTATTTACAACTTTTTATATAAAGAGATATAATTTTTCATTTTGAAAATACTAATGAAAAAGGAAATTTATCTAACTCAATTTGAATCCTAAAAAAGATTTTCAATATATATATATATATAAAGGGAAAGAGATAATATAGTTGTTTAAGGTAAAAGGGCAGGAGAGAAAAAAGGAAAAATAAGTTACAAAATTAGATTAAATTGGGGTGTTTAAAAAATTTTAAAAAGTCATTAAATAAAAGTGGTTGTGATATCAACTTAAAACTTAAAATGACAAAAAAAGAAAAAGAAAAAACTTGAAATTACACCCAACTTTGTTTTATGGTAAAAGAAAAAAGTAATGTATTATACATATATATATATATATATTTATATGATATAGTATTTAAAAAAGTTTTGGAATTATTAAAAAAATTCATATTCTTCTACATTCAATTAAGTGTTTATATTTTTATTTTAAATTAAATAATTTTTTATGATTAATATATAATTAATTATTGGTAATCAAAATATCATTAATCATTTTTATGTCACATGTTACTAACCTGACATATTGATCTATATATGATAATTTTGCATATGACAAGACAACAGAACACAAGTTTAAGCGGGTTTGAATTTAGGCTAATCGTATTTCATATATTAACTATGTTAAACCCACTTAACTCGTCTAAGTCACGATTAGTTAATCGAGTTATCGCGTACTTGTATAACATATGACTCGTTTATTACCCATTTATTTAATTATATTTATGTTTCATGTAAACACGTTTACTGCATGGTAGAGATCCCTTTATTGATTTATATAAATATTAATATTTTTATAATAATTAAAATTTATTAATATTAAATTTTATTATATTTAAAAAATATTATGATATTTATTATAGTTGTGGTAAATTTGAATAATAAAATCATATTTTACTTATAAATAACTCAAGTTAATCGTTTTAATCATATCAATTATATTAACATATCATTAATCGTATAAATTTTAATTGTATTAATCATGTTGTGTTGTATAAAATTTAATCCAATATGTTTAATAAATGTGTTAACTATATCATGTATTCTTACACGTTTATTAAAAATTACTTAAAAATTACACTATAATTTAGAAATTAAAAGCTATATATTTGTCTTACAATATGTTTGGTGATGAAAATGATGGAACAATGGATGAAACATATATGTCCATTATAATGTGTGTTTGGTACGATGAGAATGATATTTCCTTTTTTTTTTATTTAAATCCTTATAATAATCTATTAAAATTTAATTTACACACTCTAAAATAAAAATATAAAAACTTCCTCCTTAATGTACCTGGTTTTAACCACTAGATGGCAATAATTTTTCACCCTTTAGCTTTTTATATACTTCCTACTAAATACAACCTCAAGATTGATATTTTAATATGATAAGTCAGTGAATTTATCCCGAAAATAAAACTTTTA